AATCTTACTTTTGGCCCTCAGTTACATCCTTCAGCATTGCCCTAGGTATCTGGATGAGTTTATAATCGTGAAGTGGAAATTTTGTAGTGAAATTCAATCGTTGAAGTTCTCCCTAAGAGGAAAGACAACGAAAATAAAGAAACCAAACAGGATGAGTTTTATACAGACCATAACATTTTCTTCTTCCCTTACGATTTTCAAAAATGTCTGGACATGATCAAGCGAATGCAAAGGTATAGCAGCACGGACCTCTTCCCTTGCTTTTCGCTCCTGTAGATACAATGATCAGAAAACCAATTTGATGTGATTCTTATTGGACAACGCACCTTGGCAAATGGACCGTTTTCATGGACTTCTTGGACTCTTTTCTTCCGCTGTACAAACAGTTCCATTGTACAATACTACCTGAAACATACTCACACTAAATAATTCGACGTACAAAGTGAAAATTAACGTGAAACCTTGTGAAAACATTCAAAAACTGTATCTTGGCGCCCACCCTTATCGCTGATGCGTGAACTCGTACCGTCTCACTGCTGTCGCGCGGCGACTGTTCGCGGAGGAAAGAACATGAACAGGGTCAAGTGAGACTTTCCGGTGCTCCCCCCTTCTGTATCAAACACTAATGAACCCGTGACATCGCTCTAGATTATTTTCAAGTTACATTGTAGCCACATAAGTAATCTTGCCTACTAGTTACTGAACATACGTCTTCCTCATATAGCAGAAAGAAAATTTTAGTGCTCTTTGATAGAGGCTGGCTGCTGTAAATTCGCCCAGAACATTCTTGGAAAGCAAAGACATGCCATTAGACTGTCATAATGTATCTTGTTGGTGCTTATATTTGATTTCAAAAGGTCATGTAACGAGAAGTAGGCTAATTCTTGGTGCGATCCTCAAATTTTGTGCTGAGCCTTCGGAACTCAGTGGAAAATTTCCCCTGGGCAAAGTCAACTGCAAGAAGTAAGTGAATGGCTGCTACTTTGTCAGAAGAAGTGCTAAACTTTCAAACTTGCATTTAAAGGCTGGAAATCATTACATTTTTTGAAGAGAGCCTAGATTTCACGCATGCTAAAATAGAAATTCCATTCAAACTCTTTCTTCCCTCAGCAATAAAAAATCCTTTTGGATCATTAGTCTAGACGTCATTTCGTCAATTATGAATGTACCATGACATCCTCTTCATTATTGACTCGTCATCAGCTTGGGACAACAGACATGCCAAAAACAGATTATACCTAAACTGACCTTGTTTTCAATCGTATCAAATATTTATAGCATGCATTTCATAGACAAAACAGCAGTGATCTCATGATATTTGTTGCACTCTGATCAGACAATCTTTTCCGGAATTCATGGCTTATTTGTGTGCAATTCGATCACATCTAGGACCTATTCATAAGAATTGTGATTCCATGAATTTTACGCGTATATTGACATTGACAAGATACTCTTTTCTAACCTTTTTTTCCTGCTATTTTTTGAAGAAATGACGCAAGTTTGTCAAATTTCATAGCTATGTTAGTTAAGCAAAATCACTCTACGCCTTTTCCGTTTATACTCGATATCAGTGTTTACAGTCTTTTTCTTCGCATTTATCCTGACATAAACTTGTGCAGACCCTCGTTGCAAATACCGAGATTTCCTCTTGTTCGACTTGTCTGGTCAACTGTCCTCATAGGCATTACTTCATCCTTCACACTGCATCTACAATTCAGCGGAAATTCACAGTGGTGAGTTTGCAATTTTCGAACTATCAAAGCACATAAGCAATCAAGCAAATATATCAGATTTTTTTACTCAAATATTTTTCTATTATATTTCCTATCTGTACGATGTCTGCTACGTCTTTTTCGATCAGGCAGCTATTACGGCTATGGCTTAATACAAGAAATGACTGTTCGAAAAGCTTGATCTTCGTTTTTTTACTTTTCTTTTCAATCTCGCTCTTTAGTGCCACTTATTGTCTCCTGTTAACTTTTTGAAAGTCATTTTTGTATTCCAGAATTTTGTCATTAACTAAGTAAATGGGTTATATACAACTTTCGACGTCTTCACTTGGCTTCACCCTTTTCTAACTCTTTCTAGTGAGCAATGCACGAGTAAATTGATCAAGAAGCATCATCAAATGGTACATAATTTAGCTGCTTCCTCGAAGAGACAACAGTCGCTAAGAGCTTACAAAATGATTCAGTCTTAACGGAAGTGGACCTTATCATTGAATTTCACACAGTCCTCTATTTTTGAACTATCAGAGGTAAGACCTCTTTTCAACGAGTGAGACTCCAGACTACCAATTAGATGTTTTTCCCCATGTTATGACGTCTTTTTGTGCTAAATTCATCTACGATAAGTTT